TCATGGTTGCTTTGACCACGAAACTCCGTTTCTTATATGTATAGTTTATAACCGCATTCAAATTTACAAACCAGAGGAACATCGTCTTCCTCCAGAGTTAGTCGGACGAATTCGGACATCTTGATTATATGAAAAAAAAGAAAGAAAAAAAAAATCATTCGACTAAAAAAGGAATTTATTTATTAACATGCAAGAAATTTCATAATTATTTCCCAAGTTATATACCTTTAGTACCATTGTCCCATAGAGAAATGAAATGCTAATTGCGGTCACAAAATTGCTATTCGCGGTTTATAACAAAACCCCCAAAACTTTTAAAAATATCAAAAAACCCCCCAAAACTGTAAATAGCAAAAAAAAAAAAAAATTCGAATATTCGAAATCAAGCTTGAAGAAGGGTTGGGCTTCGATTTTTTGATGTAATTTCGACCCTTTTATGTGTAATATGCATTGGGTAGGTCGATTACGGAACCAATTTCATGTTAAAAAAACCCTACAAATCGATTTGTAGGGCTTTTTTTTTTCGCAAAAAACGGGCGTTCTACACGCCTTGAACGCCCATCTTGGGCGTTCGAACATTTAAAAAAAAAAAAAAAAAAATTTGCACTGGACGCCCAAATGCAGCTTGCACGCCCAACTTGGGCGTGCACTGCATGAATGGGCGTCCAGTGCCGGGCGTTCGTACACGCCTTGGGCGCCCATCTTGGGCGTTCGAACATTTAAAAAAAAAAAAAATTTTTTTTTGCACTGGACGCCCAAATGCAGCTTGCACGCCCAACTTGGGCGTGCACTGCATGAATGGGCGCCCAAGTTGGGCTTTTACGCGTTTGGGGGGAGGGGGGGATTGGATTTTTTTGGGAAGTTTTGGGATTTTAGTGAAATAAAGTGTTTTTTTGGGGGGTTTTGTTATAAATCGCGAATAACAATTTTCAAACCGCAAAAAACAATTCCGATAGAGAATGATGTTGACTATCAATCCACTTGTGGACCATTATTCAACTGATTGGACAAACCTTCTCCGAATCTCCATCAAACTTCAACACTATATTCCTATTTTATTTTATTTTATTTTATTTATTTAATCATTATTCAATTTGTTTTTTCAAGAATTCCATTTCCAAGGGCAGAATCGAAATTAGAGGCTTAAATAAAACAGTCCCAACAAAACAAATAAAAATCGGGAAAAATACAGTTTATATCCCTCAAGTTTGCATCGATTTCACATTCGGTCCTCCATGTTTACAAAGAAACATATTTGAACCCTTATGTTTCAAAAATTCAACACTTTTAGTCATTTACTTCAATTTCTCGTCAAAACTAACGGAATCAAGCGTGTGTCCATCACTGCATTAACCAACGGAATAATGGTAAAATGACTGAAGTGACCAAAATTGTTAAAAGTATTATTGAAACATGAACGACTAAATATGAAATTAGTGCAAAACTGAGGGACGAAAACTGCAAATTCCCCCAATAAAAAATATATACAAAATTTTACGTAGTAAGGTGAAATGACGAAATTAGCCCTAGCTCTCCCCCCCTTGCCAGCTCCACACAATGTCCTTCAATAAAACATTTTTTTTCATGAATTATCTCTCTCACTCTTTATTATTTTCCGGTCATTTGTTTATCTTCACGGTAGGGGTGAGCAAAAAAACTGAAAAACCGAACCAAAAAACCGAAAAACAGAGCTGTTTCAAACCGTACCGAATAGCGAACCGTATGTACGGTTATTTATTTTTGAAATACCGAATTATTCGGTTCAGTATGGTGGAAAGGGTAAATTAAACCGAAAAACCGAACCGAACCGAAACTATAAAATGATTTCATTTTATATAATATATGTATTATTTTACCCTAATTTTTACTTTATATCTTTCAATTACTTGTCTCCTTCTAAGCATTTTGTTCATAAATTGAGACATTGTATTTTATTTATTTAGTAACTAAAATTTTACTTGAGTTCTTGGTTTTAATAATATGGTTGATGAAAGTAGGAAAAATAAAATAAAACATAATACATCATCTAAATTACGTTAAGTCCTATGAGATTAAATATTTTATATTTTCATTGCATTAGTAAGTTGTGAAAGTAATTGTAATTGGATTCTTTTGTTTGTACAACTTGAATATATAATTACTCTTGAACCGAAAAAAACTGAAACCAAAAGAAACCGAACCGATAAAAAACCGACATACACGGTTTTTAATTTTACAAAAACCGATATATTCGGTTCATGTTCGGTTTTAGCCAAAAACCGAACCGAACCGAGCCGTGCACACCCCAACTTCACGGGCCCAAAATCCTGCGTCATGTGAGCTTTCCGACGATCGAGTGAGTAGGGTTCGAAGAAAGGTATTGAGAATGCAAAATTTGTACGATCAATGTGCATTTGGATGTGATAATTTTAAAGAGAGATTTCAATTTATAATACTAAATACAATTGAATATGTTTGAACTGAATCGGTTGAGAAAGAATTTCAAACTCTCGTAGCTATTATTTTTAGTTGTTTTTTTTAAACAATTATTCTGAATTTCAAATTCTTCCTATTTTTTAGGGATTCCAAAGTCTACTCATTCGTTTCAAATTCTTCAATCCAAATGTTCAAATCGAATTACACATATACCTAAACAAAAAATGTTCCATGAAAAATAAATATATCCCAATTAATATATTTAAGATACAAAAAAATATCTAATGTAATAACAACCGTGCTTAAAATTGAAAAAAGAAAAATAAAGCTTCCACAAGCATACAACGGTAAAAGCCGAAGAGTGTAAGTTGGGAGTATCGTACGTTCATACTAACCTGACGTCTCGAAAGACATTACTTATTCTGGAAGACAAGTCGTCATGGTTGCTTTGACCACGAAACTCCGTTTCTTATATGTATAGTTTATAACCGCATTCAAATTTACAAACCAGAGGAACATCGTCTTCCTCCAGAGTTAGTCGGACGAATTCGGACATCTTGATTATATGAAAAAAAAGAAAGAAAAAAAAAATCATTCGACTAAAAAAGGAATTTATTTATTAACATGCAAGAAATTTCATAATTATTTCCCAAGTTATATACCTTTAGTACCATTGTCCCATAGAGAAATGAAATGCTAATTGCGGTCACAAAATTGCTATTCGCGGTTTATAACAAAACCCCCAAAACTTTTAAAAATATCAAAAAACCCCCCAAAACTGTAAATAGCAAAAAAAAAAAAAAATTCGAATATTCGAAATCAAGCTTGAAGAAGGGTTGGGCTTCGATTTTTTGATGTAATTTCGACCCTTTTATGTGTAATATGCATTGGGTAGGTCGATTACGGAACCAATTTCATGTTAAAAAAACCCTACAAATCGATTTGTAGGGCTTTTTTTTTTCGCAAAAATGTGCACAGTGAGGTCCTCTGTAAGCGCCACAAT